CGAAGTGGTTAACTTCCCTGGGACCCTCCAGCAAGAGGGATCCCTTCCTAGGGAAATTAACCACGAATTGTGGTTCTCTTCCTGCATTTATTTTCCAGACCAGGAAGTCACAGGAAGTGAACATAGGTGGGGTTATAGTTTGACAATATAGGCTGGTAACTTTCAGTGAAACAAGCCAGATGACATTCCGGTAGGTAATTAAGTGATCTTATCAACACAAGCTTGATCTTAGCAAACGTTCCTTCTTACAGCAATTCTCAGTATCTTTACATAACAATCAGTAACTAGTCTGTCTTTGAGCCAGCAACCTGCTGTGCCATAAATCTTTATCTCACACCAGAGACTTATAGCCTGAGGAAAATTTCCAGTCTTCCACAAGGTCAATATTTGAAACTGCAAGACTCTGGAAAACCAGGCCCTGTGAAGTACATATGCTTTACAGTATATTCCACACGTCCCTAATTTGAAATCTGAAACACACCTTTGAGTGAGCATAGTGTTGGCACTCAAAAAGTTTCAGATCTTGGAGCATTTCAGATTTTGGATTTTTGGATTAGGGATGCTTAACCTGCATCAGCACCTAGTGCAGTGCTTAGTAAGCAGTTATAACAGTTGAAGAAATAAATAAAAAAGTTTTAGACTAATTTTGGCAATATTACTAGTTTTACCATAAGACTTCAGTAAAAGAAGGCATGTAACCATTTCTATGAAATTCAAGTTCTTTAAACATTTAAACATATTTTGAAAAATCATACATTTCTGGAAGTAAAGCATTTAAATGATTAAGCTGGATCTTAATTAGCTAATCGATAAATTGTTATTTTCATGTAAGTCACCAATTCATGAGTTCTACAATGTTTGATGGTGTCTCCATGTTGATTATTAGTGCTGCAAATTACCTTTTAATTGTTTGTGTTATATCATTAAACATCTTTAAAGTTTGTTTTATGATTGAATTCTTGTCATCTGGTTAAAATTGGAAAAGGCTCATTCACTATAGAGACAAAGACTACTCATTAACTCTTTGATTTTTTTTTAAGTTAGAAATTTTAGGATTTTTAAAAAAAATTGAAGTACTTCCCAATGGAAGGGATTATCTGTTTGTTTTTGTGGGAAGGCTTCCTACATTGAAAATAGTATTTCCTCCAAGGTCTATATATAGAGTTAATAGAATGCATATTAAGATTCAATTGTAATCTTCTAGAAGAGAGGGCAATGATAGAAAAGTTTACATATAGGACATTTAAAGAGGGCTTGTGAAATGAAGAGCTGTGAATGCTGTGACCAAAGATTGAAGTTTTCCATAGGATGCTGTCCTCACACAGTAGTGCTCTTTTCGTGAAGAGATAGGTGATGTAGCCACATATACGAGGGTACTTCCAAAAGGCCATGGACAGATTTGTATCATCTTTTGAATCTGTTTTTCCATGAACTTTTTGAAGTACCATCATAGTTCACTCATTTCCATGATAGTTAAACAAAACTGAAGAACACCAAATATAAGGGCAGAAAAAGCAGTGTAAGAGATTCACTTTCCAGGCTTTGAGATTTGGTATAAGGGAACCGTCAGCAGTTGCTGCAGCTCTGGCCTGGCACGCTTGCCTTCTGAGCCTGCAGGCCATGCACTCACTCCCCACATGCCTGAGGGCGGTCATCGGCTGCCTCAGCACCATGGAGGTGAAGAGCAAGAAGCAGCAGACCACAGTGCTTTAGATACAGACACGCTAGGAAAGAAGGTTTTAACCAATCTAGTGCATCCTGACAACCACAGAAAAAAGCTACATATAGTCATTAGTACGCCCCAAGACTTCAGACCTGTTTTCTATTATACACGTGGATATTCTCCCAGAAACTCATCATAGGGTTTGTCTTTACAAATATGGCACTGAGAAGCCCCTAGAATTCTACATTCAGGGTGGCTCCAGTGTCAGGGTAGCACCACACGGCTTAGAGAAGGTCTAGGGATCTTTATATCCCTAGATTGGTTGGTTTATGTAGAAACAGGTAATCTCAATCAATACAAGTGGTATTTTAAAATGATTGTCTTTTAGGAGCTCAGTTTGTCAGTGTATGAAATAAGAACCATAAAATTAGTTGTACTTTTGTACCAGGTACTTATATTTTAGAAAATATATTGTAAACAACGTTAATTCAAGAGGGAATGTAAATGTAGAAACCTTCATAGCTGCCTTATTCATGGTTCCAACAATGTGGAAGTAATTCATAGAGTTATTGTGAAGATAAAATTAGATGATCCATGCAAAGAACACTGCAGAGTGCCTCACCCAAAGCTAATGTAAAATGAGAGTTTTCTATAGTTACTATGCCAATGATGTGGGATTTTGTATATTTTAGTTTAAGTAACATTTTATTAAGCATTATTCTAAAACAGAATAAAATTTGATTTAAGATAGAATCTATTAAATAACCAAAGTTTATTCTCTAAAATAAACTACTAGAGAGGGAAATAAATACTTTCCTCTAATGTTGTGATATGTCCATAACAGTTTTTAATGTTTTTGAAAATGAATTATCATACCTGCTCCATGCTAACCTCACCATTGACATTTACTAAGTGTCCTTTTGTGTGTTGGGCTAAGACCAAAAATCTTATGTCACAGCAGTGAAATTGCCTTGATTATGAATTTCGCCTTTCAAATAGTGTGTTTAATTTGTTTGACAAGGTTAGAAAAAGCAAACCAGGTGTTGAAAAATGCATTGATAAGATCATAAAGACTAAGAAAACCATCTATAGGCAAGAGGAAGATAAAAGCAAGGAAGTAATTTTGGGGGGAATAACCCTCTTTACTCAGAAAAAATTTGCTTAGTGGTTTGAAAGACTGAGCATAGAAAAAGACATATTTATGTTTATATTAAGCATTTCTAGATCATGTTTTATTTTCTCCCCTTTCAGATTTGAAACTAACTTTTCATCTTCTTATTCTGAAAAGCCTGAGAAACTTGGAATCCAGGATAGGATGTTAGTTACAGGGAATGAGTATCTGTGACCATTTCTAAATCACATTTTTCAGGTTGAATTTAGGTTCTTAAGTATGTGCTAGGTTTCTTAGAGATGGTTTGGCCTGGCATTTGAATTATACAGTTTCTTAGCCTGTTCTTAGAGTTGGCATCATTATTTATTGCCTTACTTTTTTGGTGTCCTTTTATTTCACCAATATAATTCTTTGACAAGGAAATACTAAGAGAGCAGCTTGTCTGCAATATGGGAAACAACATAAAATATTTTCATTTTGTGGATTTAAAAGGCACCAAGGCATAATATGTTTAACAAATGCATGTTGTGCCACTTTTATTCCATTATATCAATATTTATTGTAAGGGTAAGTAAGAATGTATTATAATGAGTTAAAGGATCCATGGAGTTGAGAAGGCCTACTCTCACCATGCCTGGGTCCATTATTCTATATTTTATAGGTTAAACTAAGGTTTCCTACATTTGTTAAAATTTATATTTTAATGTAATAATGATAATGTTGTGATTAAAAAAAAATCTAACTGCTTTTATTCTTTGGACTTTGAAGGCAATTCAGCATCCAGCAGATGAGAAGTTGCAAGAAAAGGCATGGGGTGCAGTTGTCCCACTAGTAGGCAAATTAAAGAAATTTTACGAATTTTCTCAGAGGTTAGGTAAGTTAAAAATTTTGAAATTATGAACTTCCCTTGTGAAAAAGACATTTATTAATACCAGAAGTTATTTAGAGCATCCTAACATTCACGGTGCTGAATTTGGCTGAATGTCAGTTATATAGGTAAAGCAAGCTTGTTTAGACTATAAGATTACAATGTAATCTTCTTATCTTGCCCATCAACACAGGTCTTTGATTTATTTAGATTGTTGTCTTTGACAAATAAATTCCACAAGGAGATCTCTTTAATTTCTTTGTATGCTAAAGGATCCTAGTATGAGAAACTTGGTAGAAGTTTCTCTTCAGCTTTACAGTGAGTCTTTTCTGATATGTGGGGAACTAATCTTCAAGCCCTTGGGTTATTTAAATTTTTGCATTCTTAAACTCATTGCTGATTATGCTCAGTTCATGTATCTAAAACAATGAGTAAGCAAAATTGGATTCCCTTTGTTGGAGAAGGAGGAGACAGAGCAGGTAATGAACACAGCAGACCTCATAGGCTGAAAAAAAACAGATGGGCAGATTGGCCCACAGACCAGTTTGCTAACCTGCTGGGCTAGAATTAAGACATTTTCCCACTCATTCCTCAATACACCTATCGTGAACTACATTAACTGCACAGGCCCCTGCAGTATCACCACATCCACTGCAGCTACGTCATTACTTTTGACCTATGTTCATGCTGTCACTCCATTCAAGTGTTCACTGGCACCTGTTCACCCTTGGGTACTGTGCAAGATCCTTCCTTGGGTTGCTGAAGGAAAACCAGACATGGCTCTTTCTCAGTTTCTCATACTGTCTCCTCAGTGTCCACACACCATATATCTCATAGAATTAGAAGAGATACCCACAAGTGCAGTTAAATATCAGGTGTTTTATGAGATGCTTGTGTTAGGGCTGCTGCTGTAACAAGTTACCACAAACTGGGTGGCTTACAATAACAGAAACTTATTCTCTCACAATCCTGGAGACCAGAAGTCTGAAGTCAAGGGATCGGCAGGGTTGGTTCCTTCCTGAGGCTTTGAGGGAGAATCTGTTCCATGACTCTCTTCCAGCTTCTGGTGGCTGCCAGCAATTCTTGAGTTCCTTGGCTTGTAGACACATTGCTCCAGTCCATGTTTCCGTCTTCACACAGGGTTCTCCCTGTGTGTCTGTGTCCCTCTTATAAGGACACCAGTCATATTGGATTTCCCTCCCTTTCCCTCACTCCTTTTCCCTTCTCTTCACCTCCTCTCCCCTCTTCTTCCTCCTTCCTTCCTTTTCTTTTTCTCTGGCTCCTTGTAGTATTTATAACTATAAATACCCTGTTGTTAGGTGGAGCAAGTGTAATGGAATAAGGTAGATTTCACATCTGGAAACCTAGAGTTCCAGTCTAGGCTCTGTCACAGTAACCAATTATGAGGCCTCAAGCATGTCCTTTGACTTTACCTTGTCTAGAAAATGAGAGAGCAAGATTCCTAACTTCAACATTTTATGACTCTATCACAGACAACTGTTAATTCTCGTTAAATTCTGTAAAATTTTTGTTTGGGGATTGCCCTGTGGATTATTTTTTTATATGCACATACACACACTTTTATTGTAATAATTCAGAGCAAGTGCCTATATGTTCTCTTTTGGTTTTACTTATTTGGTAATACTGTTTTTTTGGTAAACAAGCTTTTAGTATATTACTTGAATTTATTGAAGAGAAGAAGGAAAATATACTGCCTGTGACTGAAAAATAGTCTGTGTAGTTTTATATGTTCAATAAGGACTGAATACAGTGTTATAAGCTATACTGGGTGATACCAGTTTTAGTTCTTAAAGTGATATTACAAATTAGGGAATGTTTACATAACTAGTTAATACTGGTTTTAGTAGTTTTTTTTTTTTACTTAATTTTTATATTAGCATTATAGTACATAACACATTTTCTTTTGTATTTGTCTACTTTAGATGACAAATCCTGCCATACAGAATGATTTCAGCTATTACAGAAGAACGTTGAGTAGAATGAGGATTAATAATGTACCAGTAAGTCAGTCCTTTGAACTGAGGGGTGGTAAGAATAACTCGGCTCTCAGTCTGTTCATTTTATTCTTTTATTCATTCAGATGATTTCTAAGCAAGTAATAAAGTTAGTAATTATGGGCAGCCACAGCTGTGGGACAACTGTAGGGTGCTTACTCTTTCTCCTCTCAGTCTCTTAAATTCCTACAACTACTTCAGTGAAATTGCTTGTCTGTGTAACATCGGTACTTACAAAATTTCTTTATGTATTCTCATTTTAACTGTACAAAAATTTTATGAATTAAACATGGAACAGAAGAGCCCTGGACAGAAATTGGCCTGGGATAAGAGAAGTAATTAGTGTTGGCAAGAGGTGAGAGTGAGGTCCTGGACTGTTCTCCTATCTGTGCCTGATGCAGCTGTTTGAGAAGATGGCTTGTGTGCCTGTTCCTTGGCTAGTATAGCATCTCTTCTGGTTTCTTTAGACCTGTGAATCTCTTGCCATCCTCCTCTTATGCTGTTTGTTACACTTTTCTAACTCAAAGGAGTTTTACTCTAAGTAAAACCTTAGATATGTTTTACTATAAATAAAACATTAGATATGAAGAAAATATTGTCTTGTTCTTTATGTATTCTGAGAGCCTACATTGTCCTAATTTGTGTGAAAAACAGAGAAATTTCAAAGATCAACCCTAGCCTTAAGTTAGATAGTTTGATAGAGAAATACTATAACTACATGTATAGAGACTGGTAAGTGGCATAAGAAATTTTTTTAAAACTATCAAAATCTTTTTTCCCCATTGAACAAATATTTTATGAAATGATTGCTCTAAGAGAGGCACTGGGTTGGAATAAAAGATTTCTCTTCCATGAAGCATCTGTTTTTTGTACCAGTTTGGTTTTGCATAGACCAATTTCTGGTATGGAATTCACCCTAACTTTTGTCTTTTTCATACTCATCATGTAAAATAAAATAAAAGCAAGACACCCAGTCCTCTACTATAACCATCCTTGCCATCACTCAGTGCCAAAGGCATTAAAGTCATCTTTGTACTATCTTTCAGCCTCAGTAATTATAGATAAAGCCAGTAGTTTTCAGGTGAAATATCTCTCAGGTCTCTTCCCCATTCCCTGTTTTCCTACTACTATCCCAATTGAGAACCTAATTCCCACTCCTTTTTTGACTGTTACTCTATAGCAGCATAATTCATTTTCTGACCTATTGTTTTCCTTTTTGGTACAGTCTGCTCACTATCATCTGGTTAATTTTCTGTAGAAAATTGACTTAATTGTCATTCATTTCTTCTAACTCTCAAAATGACTCCCCATTCCATATGGAAGAAAAATATGAACTTAGGTTAGCATTTACAGCACTTTACTATCTGACCCTAACCTTATCTCTCACTAGTTGCTGCCCCTTATTACACTGCATATGCTGAATTACACTCTACGGAGTCATTTGAAAACATGCTCTTCCTTCCTCTCTGCCAGCTTGGATACCTTGTTCACCTGCCCATCATCACCTGCAAAGGCCTAACTCTGCTATGAGTCCTTTTTAATTTCTTCTAGTCAAACAATCTTTCTTTCGCCCCCCCTTTTTTCTGTCATTGCCTGTTAGCATTTTACTGTGATGTTGTATGGATCCTTGTGTGTTCATAATGGAGAACAGGATACAGTTTGTTTGTTTTTTTATAGTCATCTTTCTGTCCTCTAGAATTTAGAACAATCTCTTGTACCTGTTGGCAGTCCATCATGGTTTTATTTAATTCCTCAATATCATTTAAAATAGTTTTGAAGAGGTCAGTCTTTTTTAAAAGCTGCTCAATATCATTTGTAATCTTTTTATTTTTAAATAATATTTAAGTATTTGCACATGAGGGTCTAAAATGTAATTCGTTAAGGGTATTAGATTAATTTAACAAGCATTAATGAGGTAGGCACCTGCCTTGGTCATTTTATAAATGTTATCATATTTAATAATTTATTAATTAATAATAAAGTGCTCTTATTTTCCACATAGGCAGAAGGAGAAAATGAAGTAAATAATGAATTGGCAAATCGAATGTCTTTGTTTTATGCCGAGGCAACCCCAATGCTGAAAACCTTAAGTGATGCCACAACAAAATTTGTATCAGAGGTAAGTGTTGCCTGGGAAGTTATTACTTGCGTTGTTACTTTCCCACTATGTCCCATGACTTTAAAAACTGTCTCTATGCTGACAGACCTGGAAGGTGCACACCTCCCTGCCCATTTGCAGTCTGTCTGTGGAGGTGCAGTTGACACCTTGGTGAGAGCATGGCCAATCTGAACTCTTGGTTGTCTTTCCTGTCTAATTAATAGTACCACTGTGCTGACAAAAAACTTAGAGGTTATCATCCTAAATTCCTTTCTTTACCTCACTCCCTACAGTTCCTCCATCAGTCTTATTGACTCTTCCTCCAAAATATATTGGGAACCTGAAAACTTAAGCCATTCTCTTGCTCCCTATCAGATCAGAGTACCACCCTCTCATCTGGATTACTGCATTCGTGCTCCGACCTTATTTCCTCCACTCTTTCCCCACTGTAGTCCTTTCTCCATAGAGTAGCCAAGTAGTCTTCTTAAAACATAAACCACATTCCCTCCCTCCTCTGCTTAAAGTGTTTCTAATGACTTCCTAGTACAAAAAGGAATTTGTATTCCTTTTTTCCTCAGGACAAAACCCAAATACAGCATGGCCTGCAGGCTGTCCCCCTGATGCCTGTCTGCATGGTCCCCATTGTTCTCACTCTGCTAGTATGTAAGCACCTCTTGGGAAAGCAAGGTCTTGGCTATCTTGCTCATAGCTGTATCCCCCGACCTTACAACAGTGCTTAAAATCTGTGCATTATTTAAAAAATTAGGAGGAGAAGTCCTATTTTAAAGCTGCTAATTTTTTATGTTATGCTAAATTTCAAGTTACAGTTAGTAATAACTGTCACTGTTACCTTTTTTTGTTCTCCGTACACTTTCACAGAATAAAAATTTACCAATAGAAAACACCACAGATTGCTTAAGCACCATGGCTAGCGTATGCAGAGTCATGCTTGAAACACCGTGAGTATTTGCCCATCTTTTTCACTTTCACAATTCTGTTGAGACGATTGGTATTTCAAAACATGTCCAAATGTGAACATGTCTCATTTGGAAGGTGGAAATAAGTATATCCCAAGTATTGAATATTAATATATGAACAAAATTAAAATAATTTGGCAGCTTAATGTAACTTCTGATTATGTATAGAGTTGGTCTTCAGGTACCTCAGACTGGTCAGACTAACTTAGAGTCTTCAGAACAGGAATTTTGTGCTGTTTTTTATGGGAGGGAGGGAAAGCTCTTTAAAGGTTATGATTGTCATAAACATTCTCCCTTTTTAAAGAACCTAGCTTTTTTGGTTTTGTTTTGGGATTTTTTTGGCAGCTGACCAGTTCAGGGATTGAACCCTGGATCTTGGTGTTAGCACCTGACTCTAACCAATAGAGCTAACTGGTCACACCCTAAAGAACGTTGCCTTTTTGCCAGAGGGCTAGAGTCATTCTTTTATTTATCTTTTCTCTCTCAATATTAGTTCTCAGTCTTTATTTTTTTTAAAAGATGACCGGTAAGGGGATCTTAACCCTTGACTTGGTGTTGTCAGCACCATACTCACCCAGTGAGCTAACCGGCCATCCCTATGTAGGGATCCGAACCCATGGCCTTGGTGTTATCAGCACCACACTCTCCTGAGTGAGCCATGGGCCGGCCCTCAGTCTTTATTTTTTTTTATCATGAACCTGGATTCCCTTGTGAGTTTCTCCTCTCTTTAAAACATTTATGATGTAGGGCCGGCCCTGTGGAGCACTCGGGAGAGTGCGGCGCTGGGAGCGCAGCGGTGCTCCCGCCGCGGGTTCGGATCCTATATAGGGATGGCCGATGCCCTCACTGGCTGAGCGCGGTGCGGGCGACACCAAGCCAAGGGTTGCGATTCCCTTACCGGTCACGAAAAAGACAAAAAAAAAAAACCCATTTGTGATGTATACCACAATGTGATCTGGCTGAATTTTCTACAGCAAGCAGAAGGAATCCCTCTTGGATTCTTGAATAATATATAGCTTTTACTAGACAACTTTTGGTTTTGTGGAACTTTATATTTTCCAAAGCACTATTATATATACATCATTTTATTGGAAAACCTTGTGAAGTAGGAGAGCAACTATCATCATCATCCTCACTTAAGGGAGTGAGGTCCTGGGAAATGAAAGGACTGACGCACAGTGGCCGATCCCACCCCTGTACCTGGATGTCTCCATTTGGTTCTGGACCCTTTCTGCTGTGCCACACTGCCTTCCATGTAGAGAAAAGTTCTGTTTCCTTTGAGAGAACAATACCGTTGAATTTTAATAAAATTCAAATCCAGTAATGTGTTTAGATCAGGATGGCCCATAAATAGCAATACTTGTTCTATTAAGCTAGTGACTTTTTTCATCATATTGGTGGTCATAGCCTTTATTTGGCACCCAACTCCAAACTTTCATTTAGGGGCTACTTTTGATTTCCCTAAAACTGTTGCTCTCTGTCAAGTAGAAGGGGTAGTATATACTAAGGTGGTGCAAGTAGAGACGGGATTATATGGGTGATGATTGCTCCACTCACCTCTTTCTCACCCATCTGGGGGTCTCATTGCAGAGAAGGGCGCATAATGTTAGCCTCCCTTTTAGAAATTGAAGGGGTAGGTCATTATCACCTGAAAGTTGAGTCAGCACATTTTTTTTGTGATGTGCCTAGTCCATTTGTATCTTTTCTACCCTCCAGGGAATACAGAAGCAGATTTACAAATGAAGAGACAGTGTCATTCTGCTTGAGGGTAATGGTGGGTGTCATAATACTGTATGACCATGTACATCCAGTGGGAGCATTTGCCAAAACTTCCAAGATTGATGTAAGTTATATATTGTTTTATATAATTCCAAACGATTTCCTTATATGGAAACTGTAGGCTTTTATTTTATTTAAAGAGCTAGCAGGTTGGACTCTCACGGAACTCAAGATTTATAGTTTGTGATAATGGTGGATTTTTGTCTCCTCTGCTCTCTTGCTGTATCTCTTGTAGCCTATATACAGGTGGACTGTAGAGTGACTGAAGGGGAACTGTACATATTTTCCATATAATCTTCCTTTTAGGATTCTTCTACATATTTGGCAATATAAATAAATAATTAGATATAAGAAATTTTCTAATCATGTCCTTTTATTCCTTTGGCCAAAGGCCATTTCATGGGAGGAGGGGAAGTGGTGAATTAATGGGTGCAAAACTACAGGTAGGTAGGAGGAAGAAGTTCTGATGTTCTAGGATGACTAGAGCTAATATTACTATTTTACTGAATAGCTAGAAAAGAGGATCTTGACTCTAATTACGACAAAGAAAATGTTCAGGGAATGGATATGCTATCTACCCTAAGTGAATCATTGTACAATATATGCATGTATTGAAACAACACACTGTATCCCACCAATATATACAGTTAAATTTTAGAATTAAACAAAAGCAAACCAAAGACCATTTCAAAGAAAAGGTTTATTTCAAAATGTATATTAAAGTTAGTAGTAATGTTGTTTCAGTGAAAAGAGTTGAAGACTTTACAAATTTTCTCTCCCTTGCCCAACATAATTTATGTGACTATAGCCAGATGTCTACTTTCTTGTCTCTATAAAAGTTTATATTAGAAACAAAGTGGTTTTCTGGTTTCACTATTTTACAGTTTCTGTCCTCACCCTCTCACATCTAGTCCATCAACATTTTGACTAGTGTTGGGGAGAACTGTCTTCAGTGTCCCTTTCATAGCTAGTTCAGGCGCTCGGCATTTCAGATATTGATCACTGATTGCTAGCCAGTTTTCTTGCCTGCATGCACATCTGTAGTATGTAAAGAGAAATAAGCTAACATTTACTGCGTGGTTACCATGTGTCAGGAATTTCATATTTGTTCTTCCGTATGACTCTGAAAATATTTCTGACAGCCTGAAAATACTCCTAACAGAGTGACGAAAACTTAGGAAATTAAGTATTAGAATTGCTAGTGAATGGTAGAGAGGGGAGTGGAACCCACATGTCTCTGGCTTCCAAAGCCTATGTCCTTTGTACTATGCCAGGCTAATCTTCCTTAAATGCCATCCTCATTGAGTTCACTTTTTTAATAGCCTGTAGCAAATCCCTCCTGCCTGGCCTGTCAGTTCCAGATGAGTCATTGTGCTTTCAAGTATCTGTGTAACTCCCGTTTCATCCTTGTAGAGTTCCTGTCTGTCCTCTGCGTGTGATATTTTAGTGTTTTTATCATGGGGTTCTTCTACCTGGAAAGTTTCTCTTTTCCTTGCTAACATATCCATTCTGTCCCTTAAATTACTACTTAACAGTTTTTCCAGGAAGCCTTCCCTTAGCAAAGCTTTTGTTTTTCATTAGTGTGGGTGGAACTCCATCTAGTGTGACTGATTTGGTTCTCAAGCTTTGTTTCACTGACAAACTGAAAATAATAGCACTTGGGTAATTTTTTTTTGTTGTTCTAAGAATAATTAATTTGACATTGTGAGTTCCATAGTTGTCCTGATTTATTTAAAAAATGATTTATTTTGAAAATGAATATTAAATAAAAACAAATGTTTTACCTTTTCTGTTTTCTTTTTTCCTTAGATGAAAGGTTGTATCAAAGTTCTTAAGGACCAACCTCCTAATAGTGTAGAAGGTCTTCTAAATGCTCTCAGGTGTGTATATGTACATACAGGAAAAAATATGTAAGGAAAATGTTTGGTTTATATGTATATAAAGAAAATGCTTCAAAATGTGAGTACCACAAAGGATATGAAGACAAATGTTCAAGCTGTAGATGTGAAGATCTTGTTTTGCTTATTGGTAATCTTGCTTCCAGTTACTGTTTCCAGTATTTTATTATGAGGAGCATCTGTGTACAAATGAGAACAGCAGCTTCATTTCCTGGTTGAAGATTTTGGCTTTTACTTTTCGCCCTTCATGAAGCAGAGATTATTTATTATTTGTTTTTTCAATAAAATAATACAGGTTGAGCATCCCAAATCAGAAAATCCCAAATTTGACATGTTAACATGTTCCTACTGGAGCATTTTGGAATTTGGATTTTTTGAATTTGGGATGCTCAATCTGTAAGTATAGTGCAAATATTCCATAATCCTACATCTGAAACACTTCTGGTCCCAAGCATTCGGATAAGGGATACTCAGCCTGCTAATTGTAGGTAAAATTCAGGAAACACAGGAAAATTTAAAGAAGAAATTATGTAATCTCACCATTTTGAGATAAACCACTATTAACATTTTGCATACAGCCTTCCAGTTTTTTCTTTTCACATGTAGACAAGTTTAGCTCTATATAATTGTTATCTTTTAATAAAATAATACTATACAAAGTGTTTTATAACTAGTTTTTCCCGCTCACAATTACAGTTCTATATTATTTTTGTGTATCTCTCACAATGAAAATAAAGCAGTCAGTCATTATTTGATGCCTTTTCTCAGCTTAGTCTTACTTGATTTAGTTACTGAAGGTCCTAAGAACGCTGGAATATTTTTAAATGAAAATCTCAGCACTCAGGATCTTGACTACAGAGATTTAATTGGTATCATAATTTTCCCGATAGGTGATTTCTCATCATTTGATTATTTTGGGTTTAAACATAAAAATTACATGAACATGGAAATATTTATATAGTGGTATTTATGTCATAAAGCAAAGTGTAGGCTCTGTCATTTCAGCCTAGTGGAACCATTATGATGATTTTATTAAGATTATAAAGTGTTGTGTAAGCAGTGACTGCCTGAATAAAGAAGATTCATTCTAAATAAACATCAGAAAGATTAGGGAACATAATTAAAAATCCTTGTAGTATGAAGCTATTTCAACCATGAACCTAGTTTTTAGAACTCTTTACTCTTGAGGTTTTTACAATACAAACTTCATTGGTTTGACTAATATCTATGGTATTGTGAGTTTTTCCTACTTGATTCCTTTCTGAACACCCCCCCGTGTCTCAGCCTGGTTTTTCTCCTAAGCTCTTCTCTTTCTGATTGGTCAGTCTGAAGCCAGCAAGTGTCAGGAAATCTTCTGTTAAAACTTAGAGGTAATTGAGGTCCAGGAGGTGTTAGTATTGTTTCTTTACCTTGAAAGGAACATAATTAAAAGATTAACTTAAAAACTCAGAATCTACTGTTTATTCTTTTTTTGAAGTTTAAAGGTAGTTTAGTCTCTTTTTCTTTAGAATTAGAGCAAAGGAGGGCAATGGTACTGAGTGAAAGATGGAGTTGAAGTCTCCCACACAGTGATCCATGTTTGAGGGAAAGGAAGGCAAAGCACCGTAGAGGCAAGAGCCAGGTTTATCTCTGAGTATTTAATGGAAATTAGAAAATAAAATTTTCTTTTATTTCAAGTCAACTCTTCAACTGTTTGTATTCATAGTGTATTCTGTGTCCAGTTCTTATTTTTTTGCCTGGGAAATTTTGTAAGGTTAATCAGTATACTTGGATGCTGTGTAGTATAGTGGTCATAGTTAGTAACATTTCATATTACTGTAAACTTGCAACAAAATTTTATGTGTAAGACTTTATTTAATCTTCACCACAGCTCTGTGAGGTAGGTGGGTGGGTTTGGGGGTATGTAATGGCTCCATTGTCCGAACCTCAGGAGTTACCTTAAGCTCTGAGAAATTAAAGATTATGCAGCTAGTAAATGTCAGAATCTATTTTCAAATTCAGGGTTTTATTCTTGAAATTCCATATACTTTGTGCTATCCATTAAGTCTTAGGTTTATTATGTGATTGAACTTTAGTGTGCTTTGGAATCACCTGAATAGTTGTGAAAAATGCAGTCCCAGCTTACCACCTCCAGAGAGTCTCTTTCATTAGGTCTGAGTTGGGACTCAGTCACCTTTGTTTTAAACAAACACCCTGGCTGATGTAGGTAATGCCAATACTTTGAGAAACACTGCTTAAAGTAAATCAGCCTCGCCTTTAATATGACTTGCTCAGAGCAAATGAGATATTGTTAAGAAAGCATTTTGTAACCCAAAAGTACTTTGCAAGTGTTGTTATTTACACCTCTACAGAAATGGAACTTATCTTTTGTAGAATTAGTGACCAAAAGATTTAAAATGGAAGTATAATTGCATATATATGTTTGTTTCGAATGCTTTCCTGTAGTAATTACTTATATAGTTCCACAGACATATAGTATGCTAATAAGAGAAAGCAACAAGTGATGTCTGCGTTTTATAGGTGGAGAAATGAAACCAAATGCCTTTTAATCATTAGAGGGAAAGAGAACAAAAGAGAGCTAGAGCTAGGAGTTCAGGTTCAGTGCTGGATAATTGCCTTCTTTATTAAATTTCAGAGGAAAGATAAAAATAGTTTCTTTTTATCAGTATAAAAGTCATATGCACTTGAAAAAGGACTTTGTTTCTGTGCACAAAGAGAAATAATACCATACATCTTCTTATGTTATTTTCACATACATTAGATATTATTGCCTTTTCTTGATAAAAGAGTGTGGTGATGCCATATGCTTCTGGATTGGCTGTGTTCAAGGAAGGACCTGAGAACTGCTGCAAGCTAAGATCACATTCCACAGAAGGATAGAGAACTTGTATCATGGGCAGAGAGGAAAATACAACTCTTGAACGTCACAGTACTTTGCTGAGTAGTAATACTTTTAATGACTACTGTGGGAATTGTATCGTGTATATTACTATGGAGTTGTATAAAGGGCAGAGGGAGAAAACAGAAATGAAGTGTTGGATTTTGAGAACTTTTATTTTCTGACATCAGTAGGATTATGTATAGCTGTATATAAGAGGGGTCTTCTAAAAGTTCATGAAAAATTTGTATTATCTTTTAATTCTACTTTTCCACAAACTTTTAAAAGTACCCTTGTACTATACATAAATAAAACAGAAAGGTTAAGTCTTTGCTACATTACTTACCATTTATTGTAAATATTTCTTTATGGATTTTTCTTTCTAGCCTGGCAGCCTATCTTTTCTTCCTTTTGCACATATTTATTGAGCACCTATTATGTGCCAGGTACTCTGGTGTCTGTTTAATAACATGAGAATAGTTTGGAAGTGACTTCCCAGTAACATTGTAGAGAGTATATCAGGTACTTAATAAGCATATGTTTGTCTCTTCACCTCTCTGAAGATTTACTTGACTGCTATCTTCAATTCTGAAGTTGATTTTTTAAAAACCTAACAGGAATTGAGTTTAAAGTTCTTTAATACAGAAAGATTGTCTTTGTGTGTACCTGCTTAGAATGATCTAGTCCTTAAAGGTTATATGTGAAATTATTATAAACCAAGTTACTCAATCTGTCTGAATTAGCTCCAAAATATATCCCACATTCAGATGTTGAATACCTGTCTCCACTGCCAATAATCTGGTCCAAGATTTGGCCATCTCTGACATGGTCCTCAGCAGCCCCTAATGGTTCCCCCTTCTTCTCCTTCTGCTCCCTACAGCTAGCTCTCCCTCAACAGCCGTAATGATCCTTTCAAAACATAAATGAAATCACATCAGTCCCTTGCTTACTATCTTCTGTTGAGGGCTGGCCCATTAACTCAGTTGGTTAGAGTGTGGTGCCGATAACACCAAGGTCCAGAGTCCGATCCCTGCACTGGCCAGCCACAAAAATAGATAAATAAATAATCCTCCATTGGCTTTCTTTGCATTTAGGAGAGTCTCCAGACTCCTTACTGTGGCTGCCAGATGTCCATGTGAGCTGGTCTTCCCCTGTCTCTATAGCCTTGTACTTTCCTCCTGTGCTGCTAGGTGTTACCTCTTCTCTAATATTAGCATATCATTACTTTTCTCCTTCTGCTGGGTTGTAAGTTCCTGGAATAGTGCCTGGCACATAGCGGGTGTGCTTACTGGATTTCTAAATTGTCTCAGAAAATAGTAATCACTGTTAGTGGTGATTTTTTGGATTATATATTTGGACTTGCATGCTTATAGCAAAACACATTTGCCTAGAAATAAGGCAGTTAGAGAATTAAGACAGACATTTTGGGGATTTGATAGCAGTGGTGATTGAGCTGTCTTAAATGTGGAATAGAACGGATTGGCAAAATTTTCTGTAAAGGGTCAGAGAGCAAATAAATATTGTAGGTTTTGTGGGCCACATGGTTTCTGTCACAGCTACTCACCTTTGCCTTCATAGCAAGAAGGCAACTGTAGATAATATGTAAATGAATCAGTGTGGTGTTTTTTTTTTTTTTTTTAAAGATGACCGGTAAGGGGATCTTAACCCTTGACTTGGTGTTGTCAGCACCACACTCAGCCAGTGAGCGAACCGGCCATCCCTATATGGGATCCGAACCCGGGGCCTTGGTGTTATCAGCACCACACTCTCCCGAGTGAGCCACGGGCCGGCCCCAGTGTGTGGTGTTTTTTGATAAAACATATATGTAAGTATTGAAGTTTGAATTTTATATAATTTCCACATTAATAAAATATTACTATTCTTTTGGATTTTTCCCCCTACCGTCTAAAAATGTAAAAAAACCCAAACTGTGCTTAGTTCACAGGCCATGCAAAGATAGTGGTGTGTTGCATTTGGCCCATGGGTGTCATTTGCCAAATTCTGGGATAGAACAGTTATTTATCTCTGACTGAGAAGTTACAGCTAATTGTTTACTTGAGAGTTTAGCCAGTCACTTCAACAAGGTAGTTGTAACTAAGTTAAACAGCTCCTGGTTGTTCTGTCCGAAAGATGGTAGGGAGGATAGCTGTGCCGGCCCTGAGAGAAGGTTTGTCCCACCAATTGCTCGTCTTGTCATAATTTACAGAACCTCATGCAGATTTTTTTTTTTTTCTCTAAAATTGATCATTATTTTTTCATTTAGGTACACAACAAAACATTTGAACGATGAGACTACCTCCAAGCAAATTAAATCCATGCTGCAATAACAGTTCTGGAACAAGCATCTGCTGTAGACAGAAGACAGTATTCTGCAATGACTGAGAATGCACAGTTTTTTAGTGATTGCAATTACTATCTCATTTATTCTTGCTTTTATTTCTTTCCTCTGTTCCTCTTCCCTCTTTTTTAATCATGTTCTTGTTCTTACAACTTCTTTTCTGTGCCAAAATCAGTAAAGTTATACTCTGAAGGGATATTGTCCTTTCAAACAGGCCATCTAAGGCAGCTAATTATGCATTGCATTGGGGTCTCTACTGAGAAAAATTCTGTGACTTGAACTAAATATTTTTAAATGTGGATTTTTTTTGAAAACTAATATTTAATATTGCTTCTTCTGCATGGCAAAACTGCCTATTCTGCTATTTAAAAACCCTCAATGACTTTATTTTCTACTGCCGCTTTTTTCATGTGCAGCCAAAATGAAAATGTTTAAATTAACTGTGTTGTACAAATGGTACCCAACACAAACTTTTTTTAAATTAGTAAGACTTTTGTTTAAAGTTTTAAGTTTGCATTTTGACTTTTTTTTGTAAGGATGTATGTTGTGTGTTTAACCTTTATTAACTAACGTTAAAAACTGTGATGTGTGCGTAGAATATTACGTATGCATGTTCATGTTTAAAGAATGGCTGTTGATTATAAAATAAAAATCAGCTTTCATTTTTCTAAGTGTGGCTTGGTTTACTGATGTTCTGTTTTTAGGCTTTTTTCCATGTATATTTTTATGGAATGCATATATACATTACAAAAGTTTTCCTTCTTATAGGGGAGAACTGGGTCTTTTCAATAGTATTTTTCTTTGCCATTGTGTATGTACATAATTTTAGTTGCTTTTAAAATTTCCTAAGCATAATAAGACCAGTGATCTTGTCGTTAAACTTGACTATTACTTTCGATTTACCTCTTGTATGGATGTGGTAATAGAGAGGAAACCACACGCTTGCTTGATTCTGTTCCCACGAGTGGGAGGGTAGCAACATGAAGCAGAGTGTGGAAGAAAGAGCAGCCCTTAGTATTGAGAGGAGAGTGAGTAGGAGAGGGACTTCCTGGGAGAAAATTGAAGGCCACAATCTCATGAGCGGTAGGTAACTAACATGTAAGGTCATAAGACCTAAATTGTGAGGTATCTAAATCTCTCAAGATTGAGAGAAGCTGCTTAAAGGTTGTCAAGTCCAATCATGCCAGTGGTTTCATGAGAGGAGTGTCTGAGGTATAATACAATTAACATGGTTAACCATGGAAGAGCATCACAGAGGCTTCCATCAAAGCCTGGGTCAGTAGCGCCAGATCGTGGAGTCCAGCCCCTCATAGTGGAATCCCTGCTGACCTCTTTGGCCTCCTGCTCACCACTTTCCCACTTCACACCTTGTTCTCCAAGCAGGCTTGACTTCTTGTTCGTAGATTGTTCCATGTGGTGTCACTTATATAACTCTTGTCTGGCTGAACCTGACATCCCCTTCCTCCCTCATGTTCAACTGACAAACACCAGTTTTCATCTTTCAAGGGTCAGTTTGAGTTACCTCTTTCATGAAGCCTTCTGGTTAACATTGGCCATGGCCTTTTAGGCATCTTCTAAGAATATTGTAAAGGGTCGAATAGTGGCCCCCCAAAGTTACGTGCACCTGGAACTTGTAATGTGGCATTATTTGGGAAAAGGGTATTTGCAGATGAGATTAAGAATCTTGGAGATGAGATCGTTCTGGATTAGGGTGGGCTCCTAAATCCAATGACAAGTCTTAAAAGAAGGGGGAAACAGACATTAGTGGAAGGTCATCTGAAGATGGAGGCTGAGGTTTGAGCAATGTGTCTACAAGCCAAGGAACTCAAGAATTGCTGGCAGCCACCAGAAGCTGGAAGAGAGTCATGGAACAGATTCTCCCTCAAAGCCTCAGGAAGGAACCAACCCTGCCGATCCCTTGACTTCAGACTTCTGGTCTCCAGGATTGTGAGAGAATAAGTTTCTGTTATTGTAAGCCACCCAGTTTGTGGTAACTTGTTACAGCAGCAGCCCTAAGAATCTAAAACAAGCATCTCATAAAACACCTGATATTTAACTGCACTTGTGGGTATCTCTTCTAATTCTATGACATATATAGTGTGTGGACACTGAGAAGACAGTATGAGAAACTGAGAAAGAGCCATGTCTGGTTTTCCTTCAGCAACCCAAGGAAGGATCTTGCACAGTACCCAAGGGTGAACAGGTACCAGTGAACACTTGAATGGAGTGAGAGTGTGAATATAGGTCAAAAGTAATGACGTAGCTGCAGTGGATGTGGCGATACTGCCGAGGCCTGTGCAGTTAATGTAGTTCACGATAGGTGTATTGAGGAATGAGTGGGAAAATGTCTTAATTCTAGCCCAGCAGGTTAGCAAACTGGTCTGTGGGCCAATCTGCCCATCTGTTTTTTTTCAGCCTATGAGGTAAGAATGGTTTAAAAGAAAAGGTTGCAAAAATCAGAAGAATAATATTTTGTGGCATGAGAAAAGTATATATATGAAATACAAATTCTAGTGTTCATAAATAAAATTCTGTTGAAACATAGCCTAACTCATTTGTTTACACATTATTTATGGCTACTTTTGCACTACAACAGCAAAATTGAATTGTGACAGAAACCATAAGGCCCTTAGAAGCTAAAAATACTATTTGGCCCTTTACAGAAAGAATTTGCCTATCCCTCCCCTGAAGAAGCACAGTGCTGCAATGTAATAAAACAAGCCGTCTCTGCTGCCAGGAGATGGATTCAACTTCAGGTGTCGTATTTGCCAGCTCCCAGCAGTCTTTGTAGCACTCGCCACGATTGGAATTAACGATTGTATGATTTTTGCTTAAGACATGCCTCCCACTCCAGATTGTCTGTTCCCTGCACTGCCATATTCCCAGTGCCCAGGCATAATGAATCACTAGATGATATACTATTGTGGAAGGTGCTAAGTGCTATGGAAGAGTGTCGAGAGTGCTGCGCAGAGGCACAGTTTGCAATTTGACAGGGTGCACAGGGGTAGGTCTCATTAAAGAGGTACATATGAAAGACTTGAAGGATGGAAAGCAGTTAGCAGTGAGGGTATCTGGGGAAGGTGTCCCACACAGGGCTGAGAGCAGATACAGAGGCCAAAGGCAGGAGAGTGCTGGCGGGACAGGAGCAGCGAGGACGCCAGTGAGGCTGGAGTGGACAAAGAAGGAGGTCATGTGATGCCGCGGAGGCTACTATTTGGCGTTTACTGAGGCATCAGAGGGCTCTGAGTGAAGGAATGACGTGCTCTGTTTGAAAAGGCTCCCTCCAACTGCTGTGTCAAGAATAGACTGAGGTGAGGCAAGACAGCAGCAAGACCAGTTAAGACCTTTCGATAACTGAGGCACAAAATGATGGCGGTGGTTGCAATGGACATGGTGAGAAAAGAGCAATTCAGGATGTATTTTGAAAGTAGAACCAGCAGTCTTCCCCAGCAGACTGGATGTGGGAGTGGGAGAGAGGAATCAAGAATGATCGTAGCTTTTGGCCTGAGCCAAAATGATGGATGGAGATGGAGGATGGTGGGTGGAGCACATTTTGCAGGATTGGGAGGTTTTTTTTAGGTTCAGTAGGCACTGCCATCTCCTGCTGGCCTGGTGGGGGAGTATTTCTTCAGGGAGCATTTGGTAGTGAGGAGCTGAGAGGACAGTGGGGCAGTAGAGGGTGGATAACAGGGCAGCCTAGTGTAGGGAAAGACACCACTGTATGGGCGCTAGTCCCCTCTCTGCCCTTACCTGGCTTTATGACTTCCCAGGGCTGTAAAAATAAATGTCTATGGTCCCACCTGGAAAAGCTGCTGAGGTAACACTGGCTTCCAGGCTGTGCTCCATCTGCTTTGGGGAGGCCCAGAGAGGGAGAGAGCTGCACAGGAGGGGCGAAAGGTAGGCAAGGCGTCCACACACTGAGAAACGGCTTCTCCCTGGTCCCCAGCAGCTGCAAGGCAGCTCTCCTACCCCACCTCCTGTGCTGGCCCCAAGCTAGCAACTCCCGGAGACTGTGACTCGGCTGCTGAAAGGTGACTTAAACCGGGGCCATCCCATGAGCACCATTGGGGTGGGTCTCTAAGGGGTCCTACAGAGGTGAGGAAACCGATTTTATTGAGGGGCGACTGTATGTGAGCATGCTATTCAAGTGGTACAAACACGGCGATAGTGTTGCCCCTGTTTTACAGATGAGGAAACAAGTTCAGAGAGGTCAAGACACTTGCCTAAGTTCACACAGCTACTGATAGAGCCAGGGTTCCTCCCATGAATTTCCTCTGAAATCTGTCGGGTTCAGAGCCCTTGCTCTATGTTACACTATTTTTCTCCATCTGTGATGATAATGATAGAATCCCTATTTTCTAAAAATAGGTTGACTGAATTAGAACATCATTTGTTCAAATTACGATCATCTAATTTCCCCTCCCTAGAGCCTCTCACCAGCCTCCAGTAGCTGAGGCAGGATCTGACTCTCCAGGGACTAGGCCAGCAGCCGATGCTGGGTGTCACTCAGCACTGCAGAGGGATGGAAAGGGAGGGCACCAAATGGAGGGTTCTTGGGCACCCGTGTCTCTCTTTGTGGGCTCTGGTATCCCCAGGGAGACAGGGCTAGAGATGCTGGAACCCCAGAGTAAGGTGAAGCCCCAGTAGGTCCCGGCACATCTAGGGTGTCTGCCCTGGAACTACTGAGTGACCCTGAGCACACGCCACCCCACTCCACCCCTCAGTTTCCCTGAAACACAATCCATCCAGGGTGGACGCTAGGCTTCCCTTTACAAAGGGCTTTCCAATGTGTTAGCTCCTCTGCTGGCCCAGTGGCTTTGAGAGGTGGGTATCAACCAGGGTTTGGTGAGACTGGTCCAAGGCTACTTGTCCTGTTAATGAAGAACCAGGACAAGAAACAGGACCCCAAACATTCTCTAGTCTCACACAACAGAATCCTTCCAGCCCCCTGGCAGGCCCAGCCTTGACTGCCCGGGTGGCCAGGGGCCAGTCACTAGGCAGCTCTGCATCTCAATCTTTTCACCCATGGGGAGAGAACCCACGGACGTTGAGCACCTGCTATGCACAGACACATGTTCACTGGAGCAGGATTATGCACAATACAGACAATAACTTTTATTTTCTTGGATCTTACGATTCTCCAGGAGATCGATGATAAACAATAAACACAATTAGCCTTGTGGACATCTGGAGGAAGAACAATCCAGGCAGAGGGAACAGCTAGTGCAAAGGCCCTGAGGCAGCAGTGGGGTCTGATGTGCTCATGCAACAACAGCATGGAGAGACTGCAGCTAGGTGGAAGAAGCAGGGATGAAAGCCATGGACATGGCGGTAAAGGGACCGCAAGGGGTCGCCATGGAAAGCTGTTGAACCTCGAGTTTCTGCCTCTCTGCACCCTGTGATAGGCTGAGAGCCCTGCTGGTCGGCAGGGTTAGGGCAGGAGGAAGCAGTGGACACAGAGTGGAGGACACGTGGAACCTGCTGGGCATCTTCGCACCTGCTCGTCACCCAATCTGACTGCTGTGAGCCTTCAGAGGCGAATGGCTGCTGCTTCTCTTCAGCCCCATATCTCATGCCAGCTCTTCCTTTGGCCAGTTCTTACCCAGAGCCATATACACAAGGGGATTCTGGGACATGAAATTCCTGCTTCAGCAAGCAGATAACAGCTCAGCCTGGCCCAGGCTTCAAACATGCGTCTGAGCACGTCTGAACACGTCTGAGCATGGGAATTGTGTTCCTGGACAGCTGTGACTTGTTCTGCAAAACTTACCTGCATGTCGCCTCTGCTGGGCTGGAGGGGTGCCTGTTAGATGGTCTCCTGGCACAGTCAGTTGGGCATTCTCTGTTTTAATTTGTGTGATGTCTGTCTCCACTACCAGACTGAAGGGGTGGGGGGCTTGGCACATAACAGGTGCTCAGTAAATCCTGACTGAAGAAAAGGATGGAGTGTGCTGCAAGGTGAGTCCCCTTGTCCCCACTTCACACATGGGGAAAGTGAGGAAGGGCTGTGCTTCTCCACGCAGCAAGGTTTGGCACTGCATGCACACAGGGAGCCAAATGTGAGCGGAGCTGCTCTGAGCCATCTCAAGCACAACACAGACACAGCAGGATCACTCTTAGGGGGTTTGGGGAAAAACTGCCAGGGACCGTGGGGACTCAGCAGGGCTGATGGGCTGGGGCCTCAGGAGACCTTCCTCTGGGGCTCTGCTCCTCCCAACCTCAAGCCCACTGCTCTCACCCACTAGGGCTCTGAGAATGTATAGGACGGCTCTGACTCTTGAGGGTGATAGGTTGTCTGAGGGGTCCTGGAGGGTGCCTAGGGGGAAGCCCCCAGGGCCCTCGAGCTGTCCCAGCAACCCAGTGTCCACGGCCTGCTCCAGCTGCAGGGGAGGGATAAGGACAAGCAAAGAGAGGCAAGCTGCGGGTCTCACCGTCTGTCCTCTGCCTATGCATGCCTCCACCCAAGGTCCCAATCCCACCCCATAGTGCCAGTGAAAAAGGGGCGAGCCTAGGCTCGGGTGCCAGCTGGGCTGGGCCAAGGGTCCTCCTTTGCAGTCTCATCTCAGGGGGTGGGTGCAGGGGGGTAGGCTTCAGGTACATGTGGGGGGAGTGTCTGACACAGCACCTGGCACCAAGCTGTGCCCCATCAACACGGGGCCTGCCCTACCCTCCTAGACTGGGTGCTGCTCTGGAGACCCAGAGCACCTTATCACCCACCCATGGGACATGCCCACGTGTCCCATTTCTGCCTCTCATTCTCCTCCCCCTCCTTTTCTCTGTCTGGATCCCAGGCCCTATGCCCAGGTCTGTCCTATGAGCCCCTCACCGTTGTCCTCCAGCTCCCTGAGTGCCCGAGGGTCCCTGAGCAACTCTTGGAGGGTGTCCAGCAGCATGGTCTGCAGCTCTGGGGGCAGCATGGCCAAGACCTGCAACTGTGCCCCCGCCTGGCTCTGCAGGCCTGGAAGGAAGTTGGGCTCCTCACCTGGGTCCTAGCCCAAGGCTACGCCTGTGGAGACGGGGTGGATGCTGCTGGCTCCCTGCCCAGGGACAGCCAGGTCCCTAGTGCCCTCGGCCTTCCCAGGAGTTCCTGATGTCACAGAGCAGGCCTGACGCAGCACTCTGTGCACATAGAGTGCTCCCTCCATGCTCACTTCCCTCCTTTCTTCCCTAAGTATTTGCTGACCTGCCCCACAGCAGGTGCCAGTCCCAGGCCTTATCCACCCCCACCCTTGCGCTCCATCCTTCCCCTCCATCCTTCCCCTCCCCCTGCTTCAGCCAGAAGAGCCACGTTGAAGTTTCTCTCCACCAGGGCCCGCTCTGCTCATCTGTTCCTGTGACCCCTGACTCAGGCCCAGCCTCCATGGCTCTGCTCCTTCCCTGCCCGTCTGCCCTGTGGGATGGGGGCTTCTCGGGGTCTAAGCACCATGTCGGCAGGGATGGGGTGGCCTGGGCCAGGCGAAGTGCCCAGCACCCCTTCCTCCCCGCTCCCATCTTGTTAACCAAAACAGCTGCCTTGGGAGAACCTTCCAGGTACCGAACACTGTCCACACCCCATCCCTGATCCTCTAGCCTGGACAGACGCAGGTCAGGACACCCATCCTATGCTGAGGGAACCAGGCCTGGAGCAGGAGCAGGACTTGCACACTTGCAGCTCTTCCAGCCCATCTCCGCCTCCCTAGGGGAGGGCACATGCTCTCCTGCCCTGCTATGGCGCAGCGACAGCGCGGTGGAGGGAAGGGACCTGGAGAACCGTGTCAGCGCCACTCACCTCCACTAGCAACTCTGCAGAGCTTTCCTTCTGGAGGTGAAAACAGCTGCGAGGAGCAAAGGCAGGGAGAGGAGGACAATCCCCTAGAGGAAGGGAGGACAGCGACACCTTGGAGCTCTGTGGTGTGCCAGGCACGGCCAGGACCTCGCAGCATTGTCTCACATGGCCTCAAGCAGCCTCTTCACACACGGAGGATGCTGAAGCTCAGAGACACGAGTGACATCGCCAGCGCCACCCAGGAGCAAATGCTGGACTCAAGCTCATGCTCTTTGCACGGGGGCAAAGACACAGGCAGAGTCTGACCCCTCCTTATCTTATAACACCCTTAGCAGATCTGAGCACCTGGAGTGGCCCCAGCCCAGGCTCACTGCCCAGACGTGCCTCTGGTCTGCAGGGCCCTGGGCTGGGCCACGAAGGGGAGAGCAGCCCACCATCTCCCATGGGTGGGGGGGACCACCAGGCCTTGCCATGCTTGGTGCCAATCAGACTACAATGACCCTTCCTCCCGTGGAATGCAGGGGTGCAGGCTGGTTCGTAAGCCCTTCCTGACAGCTGACCACAGCGGCTCTCTATGAAGGTCAAATCCTTGTAGGTGCTGCGGGATGAGGCGATGAGGGCCTGGCCGGCCGCTGGTCTGGCTAACAGGGAAACAGCCTTCCTTTCCCTCTTC